TTTCATACCACATATGGACATTTTGAATACAACATCATGCCTTTTAGATTGACTAATGCTCCAGCCATATTTCAATATTTAATGAATGAAATATTTTGTGAGTATCTTGATGACTTTGTTGTGATCTATTTAGATGATATTTTGATCTTTTCTAAGAATTTGGAAGACCACAAAAAACATGTCCGTCTTGTATTAGAAAAGCTACAAAATACTAGGTTATATGCAAAACTAGAGAAGTGTGTATTTCATGCACCTCAAGTTGAATTTGTTGGAAATATTATTTCCAACAAAGGCCTTTTTATGGATCCAAAGAAGGTACAAGCAATTATTGATAAGGCAAAGTCAAAAATTATATGTGATGTCCAATGTTTTTTTGGATTTGTAAACTTCTACAAGATTTTTGTTAAGAATTACTCCAAGATTACTGCTCTACTTACACAATTGTTATACAAGGACAAATTAGATTGGAGCCTTGAAACAGAGAAATTTTTTCAAAGCTTAAAAAATGCTTTCACAATTTCTCTAATTTTGATACATCCAAATTTCAACAAGTCATATTTTATATGCCTCAAACTTTGCATTAGAAACAATTTTGTTACAAAATGGAAAAGTTGATAAACTTTATCCAATTGCGTTTCATTCTAAAAAATTCTCAGTGGTAGAAATTAATTACAAAATCCACGATAAAGAGCTATTTGATATTGTAGATTATTTCTAAGAATAGTGCCAATTTCTTAAAGATGCCTCTCATCAGGTGACTATATATAGATCACAAGAATCTTGAATACTTCATGTTAGCCCGAGTATTGAACTGTTGCCAAGCATATTGGAATACATCTTTATCATAATTTGACTTTTGTATCACATATTGATTCGAGAGCCAACAAAGATTATCAGATGCATTATCAAGACATTCCTACCTTGAACTAAAAGAAGGTGAGGCAGCATATGATCAACAACATGCAACCTTGATAAAACTTAAGAAATTTTATCTTCGAGTAATTAATGTATCAATGTCTGTGGATTTATTATTTCTTGATCAAGTTTGTAAAGCCTCAAACATAGACCCTCTTGTTTTTAATATCAAGCGTCTTGTCAACAACCTTTTTGAAGAGTCTTCTAAATTCACGTATGAAGACAACCTCTTATTCTTTGAAGAATGTTTGTTCATTCATAAAGAATCAACTCGCTTCAACATTCTTTAAATATGCCATGAGTTCTCTAGAGCCAAGTATTTTGGATTCAATAAGACCTTGAAACTTCTGTCTAGAAACTTTTAGTGGCTTAAAATATGAAAAGACATTAAGGAATTTGTACTATCATGTGATACTTATTCAAAGTCAAAGAACCCTCAACATTGACCATATGGACTTCTTCAACCCCTCCCTATTCTAAAGACAACTATGGTCATCTATCTCTATGGATTTCATTATGGATCTCCTACTATCAAATTCATTTGACAATATCTTTGTAGTTGTTGAGCGATTAACCAAGATGGCATATTTTATACCTTTCAAAAAGTCAATTATCTGAAAAGATAAGAAGACTCTTCATTGACAATGTCTATTGTTACTAAGAATTGGCATACGACATTGTATCAAATTGTAGGCTATAATTTGTATTAAGATTTTGGAAGATACTTTTCAAGATTCTTAAGGTTGACATCAATCTTTTCTGTGCCTTCTACCCTCAAACTAAATGCCAAACAAAGCGGATCAACCAAATTCTTGAGTAATATTTGAGATCTACCATCAACTATTAATAAGATGATTGGACTTCCTACTTATCGTTGGCAGAGTTTGCATATAATAACATAATCCATGCATCTACGTAAAAAAATGTCATTCTAATCAAACTACAATAATCATCTAAAGTTGGATATAATAGAGCCTTCAAAGTCAACAAACCTAGCAGCAGAGGAGTTTGCTACAAAGATGGTCGAACTTCAAGCAACCATGAAGTCTCATGTAGAAGGAGCTCAACAACGTTATAAGCTACTAGCAAATGAATTGAGGAAGGAACATCCTCCATTCCAAGTTGGTGACAAAGTATAGCTTCTTTGGCACAATATATAAACCAACAAGTTATGTAATAAGTTGGACTAACAAAGGGTGGGACCATTTGTGATTCAGAAACAAATTAATTACATAACTTATCGCTTGGACTTACCTTTATCCATAAAGATTCATCTGGTATTTCATATTTAACTTTTGAAAAGATATAAAGAATCGAACATATCAGGTCAAAGACAACTACCACCTTCTATGGTTGAAATCAATGAGCATGTTGAATTTGAAGTAGAAGAGATATTAGATTCAATAATAAGATATGGAAGGCTTGAATATTTGTTCCATTAAAGCAGATATGATATCATGGATTGTATGTGGAAATTAGTTGGCAACCTTATAAATTCACAAATGAAGATTCAAAGGTTCCATCAATGACATCCATTCAGACCAAAAGCAGCAAAATGAAGAACAATAGCTTGGTAAGATGACTTCACCATGAAGATTTTTAGTTCTTGGCTTCATAAAGAAAAGGAGGAGACAACCTCTGAAGATGTAGTTATTGTCAAATGTTTAAAATAGTATAAGTCAATAGTTTGAATTCATACCATAGCCTATTTATATTCTTTTGGTCTGGCCTATTTTATATGATATGGATAGTTAAGAGATAGACATCTTGTTGGTCATACCATCTCAATCAAATAGCTCGTGGAGATAACTCAAAGATGAAGAGCTGCTTTAATCACAAAGACGTTGAAGGATACCTAGTAATAGGTCAGTGATAATAAAGTTTGAGGTAGAATTTGCCTATGAAGGATGTCTAGAAGAAGTGTTTGCAGGACAATTCCATAATGAAGATATCGAAGTTCATGCTTGATCACAAGTAGAAGGCTTAAAGCATTATTGATAGCTACAAGGGCCAATGAACCATTTACCTTGCAAAAAATAATTAGAATATATATCAGACACCATGCAATAGATCTTCAACTTCTTGCGCATGTACTAGCTTTCTACAAAATTGCTTCTTGGAGACCTCGAAGCTAGTAGAGGAGGTGATGTCATAGACATACAACTCAAGAAGATTCCAGAATATTCCAGAAGGTACTAGTAGGTTTTAAGAAGGCTCTTGAAGGTTCTAGGAGGTTCCAAAAGGTTTTGAAAGGTTCTAGTAGATTCTAAGAAAGTTTTAGAATGTCATAGGAGATCCTTGAAGGTTCTAGGAGGCTTTAGATGATTTAGGAAGTTACCAAAGAGGGATCTTAGGCTTGCTTTATTTTGAAGCTTCGTAAAAACTTCTTAAGAAGCTTCCTTGGACCTAGTATATATAAGAGTCGAGGTTGAAGGGATCCTCAATCTTGATAACTCACTTCTTGTGGTCTAGCTACGACCTTCTTACTTTGTATCTATTTGTTGTTTTAATATCAGGTTAACTTCATTCCTTGGTCTTGAATCCTTATCTTATATATGATCTCAAATAATAAAAGTAACAAATTACTTCATTTATATTGAATGAACATAAAAAAGCAACCTTCATAGGTTATTATATATGATCATATAAGCTCACATGCCCTCTTTGCATAAGCGCAAGGCAGTACTCCGAAGCCGCATCATGTCCAATGTAAGATTTTCAATTACACCACATTTTTCATATGTAAATCAAAATTTTATAAAAATTGTATTAAAATTGTAAAGAATCAAAATTCATTATATAAAAAAGTAACAAAAACTAAGCCAATATATGTCTAGGAAATGAAGTACTTAAAAACTTCCTTTAAGATAGTTAAATTAGATAACTTTGTAATTAAAATTGAGTAATGAGCCATATTTGATTAACAAGTCTTTGAACTTAGACTTTGTTTTATCACAAATAATTAAAAAATATATTTATGGTTCTTTACATGTATGAATTTATATCTATATTTATCATTTTTCTAAATTTTTATTATGAAATCATATGACTATGAAAATCAATTACTTTGTAATTATTTATTTATATGTATTCTTATAAGCTAAATTAAAATTTCTTATTTATTTTGAAATTAGCCTAGTAAAAATTATGAATTGAAATACCAAATAAGAATTAAATTTATTTAAGTAATTTTTTAACGAATATTAAATAAATATATTAGTTTATTATAATAACAATATTTTTTACTATGTCTAATACAATAAAATTTTATGGAATAATTGGCCAAGCTACTGAAGCAACTCAGTTTATAAACTTATTTCCCATGCTAATCCTAAAATGTTCTCAACAATTATTTCAACAAATTTGTTTATCATGCCATGTTTCTTGAAAAGTAATCCAGATTTTTCCATAACAAGACTTCCACCAAATTATTATTAAGAAGATTTTGAGAGATATTTCAATTAATTTAAAATCAAAGTTGGAAGAATGTATATACGTTTAAAAGACAAGAAGAATATCCAATGGTGAGTAATAAGAAGATACAATTATTGTTAGTAAAGCACAATTATTGTTAAATAAACTAAGATGCAAAGAAATTAAAAATGTGAATGTATTTATATATATATATATATATATATATATATTTAGAACAACTAGAGCCAACGGATTTGTTAAAAATAATAAAAATGATTGCTGCTTGAATTATACTAGACCTCTTTCATAGCCAAAAGTTGGAATTAAAAAAATATATTTTAACTTACAATTGCAAAGAACACAATAACTAGTTTGTAGAGGTTGGTGTAAATGACTATCTAATGATCTGCCACATTTATTATCAAAACAAATAATACACAAAATTTCCTACCAAAGTAGCTAAAAACACATAATTTACAACAAAAAAAAAAAGAAAAAAAAAACTTCAACAAATCTCATTGTATCAAGAGAACCAATAATGATATTTAGAAACCATAATCAAAATTACAATTTTTATTAATTAATTATTTTTAAAGATTTTTAGAAGATTTCTTTTAATTAAAAAACCATTGTGAAAAATCACACAAACATTCAAGACTTGACAAAGGAAATATTAAAAATTATAAAATTGCTGTATATAAGTGATATGTAGAAGCAAACACCAAATGAAACACGATGTGTTAAGTTCACAAGTAAAAGTATTGGACGTGTAAAATCCATGAACTACAAAACTATGGGGAGCATGATAAATACCAAGCTTGGGATCCCTGGAGTGAAAACAACGCCCTATAACCGACCCCGTTTGAAACTTGCGGCGATTCAAGCCCTTTCTGGAAACCCACAAGACTCAATGCAGAAGTGTAGATAAAGTTGTGCTCCTTACGATGATCCCCGGCTTCTGTGTACAAATGCTACTTCTAGTTGGCTATTGAATATTTCCTGCAAGTACTGGTTATAGAATTTTCAAGCTCAATTTGTGTGAGGGATAGCAAGGAGGATAAGAAGATTGCAGTTACGGTGTGGTTTCTTACGGAGGACGTCGTTGTCAAAGAAACCAGGTGTGGCTGAAGTGCTGTTAGCCCAGTCCGCGTAGTCAAATCCATAGGTCCACCCCGCCGTGCCTCCCACCGCGTGGCTTGTAGCGTGAGCCACTGAGAAGGCTGCCATTGCCAGTGCCGCAGCTGTTATCAGAACCACGATCATGGTTCAATCCTTCATGAGCTGCTGGATCCTGAAGCTCTCTTGTGAGCCTTCTACTGTATTTTTGAACCCCTACTATGCTTAGCCTCTAGAAGCAGACGTGAACAGCATGAAATATTTGCAGAGCCTCTCCGCCTGCTGTGCATCAAAGCCAATTCAACCCAGCATTAATCTAAGACTGAAACTGTTACAAAAAAATAAACGATATTGTCCTACAAATTATCGCAGTGGCAGCAAGACTCAAGCTGGATCATTCCACGAGAGGAACCAAACTTTACAAAACTAGTTCTCTACTGCATCATAGAAACCGCTAGACACCCTTTCCTTTAGCTTTGTATCCCTGAAGAGAAAGACACGCATAATTATTAAACACAGTTTATAGCCAATATCAGTACCTTGTCATGAACCCCGAAGACCTATTTTTACGCATTTCTATCCAAGAAACCCACACCGATTGAGGAAGCATTTAAATCCTTGTGACACAGCTTCCACACGACATGCTAAAATGGCAACAATCACTGCCGAAAAAACACTTGGCCAGATTCTAGCGGAACTCAACCTCACAGAGTAAATGCAGAATTCCACAGCCTCTGCTTTCACCAACAGCAGCACACACCCAGAAAAGCTATGGACTCATGCTTTTATACTAACTGGAGAGCGGCAAAATGGTGCACTAAAGTCTTTCTTCGAGGATGGGACCGAGAGGACACACAGCATTTATGCTCCTGTGGTTTTTGCTATGGCAGGAGCTCATAAGCCCCCTGAGAGGTACTGTATGGTGGCTGTTAGGGCCATTAATTACCAGCCAGAAGAAGGTCCCTTATGACCCTAAACCTGTGGTGTAATTGACAGCAACTGGTGCAATTGCAAATTTATGATGCTTTATGATGCTTTATGATGGTTTATGATCCTTGATGTGAGTCACTTGGGAGAGGAGTTGTTCATGGGAGTCCTGGAACTGGCTGCTTCAATCTATCACATGTGCAAAAGGACCAACTGCCTCAAGTTCACTGCAGGACAGAATGAGATGGCTTAAGCTTGTCATTCTTACAAAAACATGATTGAGTTTCTCAGTGAGCTTCTGTTAAATTGTGTTGCTGAAAGCATTCATATCCATGTCTGCTAACCTCCATTTACTCCTATGGGGTTATACATACAACAAATTCTCTTTTCTCTTTGTGTTTTGGTCATAGTGATCAGCACCCATGCCACTTGTGCAGAAGGTTGGTATTGCACTGAAATTGAGTCCAGATCCAGCCTTCTTTAGTACTTCTCCCTCTCTCACCACACTATATTGGGGTATTTTAAAATTTTATTTAATTACTTTTTTATTTTTTGAACCAAGTATATTTCTACATCCAATAAAATTATCAAACATGGATAATCTCTTCTAAGATTGTGATATCAAATGCATTGTATCTTGCCATTTATTTGAGTAAGAATATATAATTCTTGAAGATTTTTATTTCTATAAAATTATCATAATAACTTTGACAATTACAATGTGTAATCAAATAAGTCAATAAACCATGGCTCTTGATTTAAATTTGCTAATTGTTGGTTCTTTATGTAATTAGTGCCACAAATACATAAAATCTACAATATGGACAGAAAGTAGAATGCTATCTTCTTTGCATCTTATTTCTTTTATAGCAAAGATTTTTTTATTTTTTATCTTGATTTTGATAGATGTTGGCAATGAAAAGTCTCAATCTTCTTTGCTCTATTTGCAAGCTTCTTTGCTAGCTTCCATGTGTATTTAGTAATATCATATCCACTCCAATGAACAAGATATTTCAACTTATTTTGGTATTTCCTTGAATCTAAGACTTTTTCTACATCAAATTCTTGATTATTATTTATTTTTATAAGAAGAGGTGGCCTTTGTCCTTTTTTTGAGATATTCACTATTTTATATGGCTTAAGAAGAGATACATTGAATATGAGATGAATCTTTATAGACTTTAGTAGATATAATCAATAAGAAATAAGATTGAATTGATCACAAATACAAAAAGTTTTAAGCCTATGTGTCACGGCCATAATCATGTAAGCTAATAATTACATATAGAAATAGGTAGAAGTAAGTAAAAGTAGATAAAAGTAAGTTAATTCTATAATACTTAATATGGAAGCTTCCTAGAAACTTTCTAGATGCTGCTTTGACTTCATAGGTGTCTTTAATTGACTTTTTAGATTAGAAACGTGGTCAACATGTTGGCCATGTGCCACACATGTTGTTAGCTTGAAGATCAAGCTAACTATGTGGCCCACACATAGAAAAACTAGCCTTGTAAGTCAAGGCATGTGTCCTACAAAGTCAATACATATTGGAGGTCCTATAGAACGTCGCCACGTAGCCCCTAGTTAGATAGTATATATAGAGACAAGAGTGAAGGCTTCTTCACTCTTGTCAACTCCTTTCTTGCTTCTAGTCTAGTTTCAAGGGTCTCTAGTTTTCTTGTCTTTTGGCAATAGCCATTCCAGTTTCTCTTTCAATATATATACTTGTTTATATATATTTTGTTACCTTTCTTTGAGCGAAGGCTCACTTGTCTAAATTGTTTTTTCATCGAGTTCTTGTCCTTCACAAATTGACAAGAGTACACCTACAATATCAGAGCTTTGTCTAATCTTGATTAAGAGTGGATTACTCCTTTTTCTTGATAAGATATAAGCGTATTAGAAGTTGCGGATTACCCTTTTCTAAACTGATATTGTCCTTAGTATTTTCTTTGTCCGCAAGTCCTCTCTTCTATTTGTCTTGAGCCATATTAGACATCTTCCCTCTTCTAAGTGTTATCATGGCAGAACTTCTTGAAATGAAGAGTGCAATGGCACAAATGCAAGAACAATTGAAGGAGTTAATGCTTGCAATGCATCAACTCAATTTACCACCACAAGGAGCAACAAGTTTGGCAGGAAGTGAAGATATAGAAATGGTTGGAACTGCTTCAACATCTGCACCAAACCATGTCCTTTCTCCTATGGTGGAACGTCCTTCAAATGTTAGAGAACCAAGAATTGCCCTACCAGAGCAGTTTGATGTCACCAGATCTAAGTTTCGAGGATTTATCAATCAAGTGCAATTTGTAATTGAACTTCAATCCCAAAGCTATCCAACTCCAAGATCACAAGTTAGATTCATTGGTACGCTTTTTTCAGGTTCAGCACTATCGTGGTTTTCATCTTTTCTTGAAGGACGAGATCTAATATTAGATAATCTAGAGACTTTTTTGGCAGAGTTTTGATCCATGTATGGAGAACATGATGTAATTCGTATTGCAACCAATAAGATCCGTATTTTACGATAAGGCAATCGATTAGTAACGTTATACACTTCATAATTTCGACAACTTACAATTGATATCAAGTGGGATGATGCTGCATTTATTAGCCAATTTCTCTACGGATTACAATATGAGGTAAAAAAATTAATGCTCAACTTACCTGATCCTCAAAAATTGAGTCAAGCAATTGACTTTGTTATGAAGTGCGACAATCGCCTTTTTGAATTTCGATCTGAGAACCGTACAAATGGACCTCAACGTTACTATAATTCAATGGCATTACCAATACCTCTTCAACACATACATTCAGAAGTAGAGGATATGCAAATTGATGCAGTACGTTTCAAATCTCTTACTGAGCAAGAAAAAACTCGTTGTCGTCAAGAACGATTATGTTTATATTATGGAGAACCAAAGCACACTGCTCAACATTGTCAAAAGAAATGATGCAATCACCAAATGAGGAGTATGGCTGTGAAAGAAGATAATATGTCAGAAAACAAGTTTGTCCAGCTACAATAGGGACCGTGTGGTTGGAACCTTGCACAACTTCTAGTAAAGGTCCTATTCTCTCCTCAGAGCCCTCTCCTTGTTTTACATTAAATAATATTTAGGATCTAAACATTACAAAGTCTCTGCTTTGTTAGATTCAAGAGCCTCAGCGTATTTTTTAGATGAAGAATTTACTAAAAGACATAGCATATCTTTAGTAAAGAAAACTAAACCTGTTCATGTAGAAGTCATAGATGGTCGTCTATTGTCTTCTGGAGATATTACTCACGAAACCCTTCCTATAAAAGTAATAATCAATGGTCATAATAGTTTTGTAGTATTTAATATCATTAGATCTCCCTCTAATCCAGTCATTTTAGGTTTATCGTGGTTAGAAAAATACAACCCTCAAATAGATTGGATTTCCCGAACTCTCTTTCTCTCTAAAAGTATAACTAACAGTGTAGTTAAGCAAGTAGAGAGTCATAAGTCTACTTCAATTAAATCCGTATTTATAGGTGTAAAAGCTTTTTTGCATGCTGCTATGAAAGAATCAGCATACATTATTTATGCTACACCCGTTCCTACTGGTGAAAAGACTTCAAGTGGCATTCCAAGCCAATATCAAGAATTTCAAGATGTATTTGAAAAAAAGAATGCGGATACACTCTCAGAACATCGTCCCTATGATTGCTCAATTGACCTTCAAGAAGGAGCACAACCGCCATTCGGACCAATTTATAGTTTATCACACAATGAGTTGGCTGAACTCAAGGAGTATATTGAAGAAAATCTAGCCAAGAATTTCATACGCTATTCTACATCTCCGACAGGAGCTCCAATTCTATTTGTGAAGAAAAAAGATAGATCATTGGGGATGTGTGTTCATTATGGAGGACTCAACAAGATTACCATCAAAAACAGGTATCCACTACCTTTAATATCCGGACTTCTTGATCAGCTGAATCAAGCTAAGATCTAAACAAAAATAGATCTTTGGGGGGCATACAATCTAGTACGCATCAAAGAAGGAGATGAATGGAAGACTGCGTTTCGAACTACGTATGGACATTTTGAATACAACGTCATGCCTTTTGGACTTACAAATGCACCAACAGCTTTTCAACATCTAATGAATGATGTTTTTCGAGAGTATTTAGACGATTTTGTAGTATGTTATCTAGACGACATCTTGATCTATTCTAAGAATCCAAAAGAACATGAACTTCATGTTCGTCGTGTGTTACAAAAATTAAGAGATACAAGACTCTATGCCGAGATGGAAAAGTGTGTATTCCACACTACTCAAGTCGATTTCTTAGGTTACATCATTTCAAATGATAGACTTATGATGGATCCTAGGAAAGTTCAAACTATTATAGATTGGAAGATCCCAAAAACGGTAAGAGATGTCTAATGTTTTTTGGGATTTGCCAACTACTATCGGATCTTCATCAAAGACTTCTCTCGAGTTGCAGCTCCACTTACACATTTGACTTGTAAAGACAAACTCGAATGGAATCAAGAAGCGGAAGTTGCTTTTGAATCTTTGAAGACAATGTTTGTTTCTGCACCAATGATGTATCGTGTTGATTTTTCCATAGCATTCTTTATGGAAACAAATGCATCGGACTTTGCTCTGGGTGCGGTTTTATCACAAATGAGAACAGATGACAAACTTCATCCAATAGCCTTTCATTCAAGAAAATTCTCAGCAGCAGAAATCAATTATGAGATCCACGACAAAGAACTTCTTGCAATTGTGGATTCTTTTTAAGAATGGCATCATTATCTAGAAGGTGCTTCCAATTCAGTCATCGTGTATACGGATCAGAAGAACCTCAAATATTTTATGTCAGCACTCGTATTAAATCGTCGCCAAGCTCGTTGGAGCATGTC